AGATAACCAAAACATCACCACTGCATCAACTGCAAATAACTCTCTCTCTCTCTCCTGTTTCCCCTCACGTCTCGACTCCTCCAATTCCTTTCGTCATTCCTCGCGAACAGAAGAACAGCAAAAACTGCCTCCATCAGGCATCTGGTTGTTTACTGCTTCACAGTGGTGATGGTCTTTGACTTAGTAGTCAGATGTGGAGGTTGTGAGCAAAGGCGAGGAAGCATGTGGCATCAGTGCGCCATCTTCCTACTCAAGGGTGTAAATTTGTGATTGAAAATAATTGTCATGTTAAACTTGTGGTGGAAATGGGTAGTGAGGATGCAGTGAACCAAAAAGTGTGATGCCCTTCGACTTGGAGAGTCAGCATAACGTGGATCCAATATGACTCACCGCAATCAGGTGTTGTGAAAATATTGCCGGTTAGGAGCTGATTGCACAGTGCAGCCCTCTCGTCCTAACACCAGTTTCCTACCCTTTTGCCTGCCCTCCATCGGACCGCCAGTTGGAGTCCATGGCTGACATTGGAGATGGGTGAGCTGCCAGAAAGATCATGCAAATGAGAACGTGTTTGTCATTTCGCTTAAGAATTGTGAAGAAAGCTTTGCCTCTTTGTTAGTCATCTGACCGTAGACGAAGCCGATGGTATCAAAGAAATCCTAGTGGTCTATGGAAGTGCTGTTGAGCATTGGAGAATGAACACTAGGAATACGATAGAGAGGAGGTCCACAAGAAGTGAGTTATGCTCCTTGGATGAAGGAAGATGAAGTTGTTTGGAAAGGTGAGGCGGGTGGTAAGTTTCCATTCACAATAGTGATGGGTGTGTGTGTGTGTGTGTTTGGGTCGTAGGGAGTTTCACCATTCATAAAGGTGACCAAGGCAACAAAATCTAAGTTGGGTTACGCAAGAGGACACAGAATTTCAACATGTGTTGCTGTCTCAGTCTAGTGTTTTTGGGTGGACCTAGTGGTTGGCCTTTCTGCACTCCCTACAACCATCGCATCGATGGCAGTGATTTGTGCTGGAGCCACTTGAAAGGTGCAGGCAGAGTGTGAGGTTGTCAGGGGAGAAGACTAGATATTAACAAGACCAAACCTGTGTTGGGTACCATGCATTAGACACTTAGACATTAATCAAAGCACGTCATTAAGTTTACTGTTCTAAGCTCTTTACTGAGTTACGTAAGTAACTGCCAACTTTGAGGATACATTGTGGAGCACAGATGGAAATGCATACTCCTTGCCCTGCCAGCTGGACGTACTTTACCAAGACAGGCAATGAAGCACGATTCCTCACACCTCATTACGTCAAATGGGCCATGATAAGACTTACACTTTGCAAATGTATTGGAGAGTCATAGTGTCTCCTTCTCCCGCCTACTGTCCCCACATTTCTTTTTCTGACACTTCATAATCACGCGATCATGTGTGAAGTGGAGCAAGCAGTTGGAAGAAAAAAGTTAGGCACCAACTTCTGCTTCGTAAATAGAAGACTTAAAATTGCTTACGAGAACCTAGAGGCTAAACCCTCCCTCATTTCCGAGCAGTCTACAAGTTGGATGAATTATGCCTGAACACCAAAATGCAATGCTAGAAATATAGTGCAAATTTTCTTATTTTCCCTTCTTCTCACTAATCTAGCTTTTTTCTACATTTCACTATCTGCTTTCTCTACTCTAGCTTTCTTGCTTACAAACATTTTAACGAATTCAAGCCGACTTCATTCCATAGGTTTTTATTGCTAGTCTGAAATTAGTATTTAGATTTAAAATTACTGGCTGAATTTCCACTTTTGAATATTCTGTCGACCAGAGATGTTGTAATGTGCCACGAATCCTCCCTCACATCAGATGACTCATTATCCCCTCTCCGAGAGGGCTACCATTATATCACAGTGAGGTCAGGGTTACGGGGCACTCCGAAGGTCTACAAGCAGGTAACACTACTCTGCAGTAAATCATACAGACCAGCGTAGAGGACGAGTTGGGAAGAGATGCGCCACTCTATGCCTTGACCTTATAAGCAGTGCTACAGGGACGCTTTCGAAGTTATTTTGGGCAGCTCGTCATATAACAGCCAATTCTTCGTGGCCTGTAGATTACCAATATGAGGAATTCGTGGTCTGTCCGAAAATGCTACCCGTCATGGAGCGCACAGTTTGGCTGATTGTGGATCTACCCGAACGAGATGACAGTGAGAGAGAGCTCCTCAATCACAAATATGTCCTCGGTTCTGTGTAGGTGTATATTGAAAGCAAACAATGCACAAGTGTGTGATTGCTTAATGGGGATGCATTTCCTTCCTTCCAGATGCCGCAATCCCTGAGCTGTACGGAATGGATCTTACTAATGAAGCCACTGGCGTCACAAATGTGACACCTTTACTACATCACTTCATGACAAATGGTGACAAAAGGATTGGTCAAGGCAAAAGATAAAAGCGAGGTGAAGTGCTCGCAGTTTGGATAGGATATATACATTGCTTTTAAACAAAAAAGCATCTTGGATGTTGCAGATGCTAGTCATTGAGACGAATGCTTCTCGTGCTTGAGCAGAGATAATTATGTTTTTAGGGTCTTCGCTGGTCATCTCTGTACTCTGCATTTATGGAGAAGGAACTAGTGGCTAGCTTTTCATTGTGAACACCTCTTCCAATCTGGATGTGTTTGTTTACGGGTAGGGGCTGTGTCGAGAGCATCAAAGTGTTGTCGGCACCTGTTTTCCTTTCTCTGGCGATTCTATTGATGCCGAATGTGGCCTGCTCGTAACACGTGATGCGCTGGTCATCGGCGTAGTAGTCGTCATGTCAGTTTAATCTAAGTGTTATCCAGAGTTCACAAGGGAAGTATGTCAGTTGCGCATGGACAGGGAACGCGACTGTAAGCTCTTCAACTCCCTTGTGAAAGACTCGTTGGACGGCTGAAGGTGCACCATGTGGTGACAATCGACGACTATCCTCAAGCCATCGTCAAGACACAGTCACTGCCTCCTCTTGAAAGAAGCGTAATGGAGTGTAATTTTTGAAGGCCAAAATGAGTGAGCTATCTGATCGTCTGAAAGGAGGCGAAATGAGGTATCCCCTAAAAGTCCCCTGCATTTAATGACAGGCTGCTCTATAAAGGTAATAAAAATAACCCAGTGTGGTGCTCCAGGGATGACGCTGTTTGAACCGTCTCCTCCTTATGGCACATCTGCCTTTCAACAAATGGCTTTTTGACCAAATCAGACATTGTTGGCTAAAATTTGTCCATCAAATCTGCCACTTTTGTCTACAACTTGCCTAACACTCAATGCTCTGCGAAATTTGAAAGATGCGAGTCTTCTGCCATTATGGATGTCTGCAGTTCCGACGCCTGCTTTATCACCGCAGGTCAAGGTTGAGGCATAACTGACGCCAAATAGCCAAAGGGTGAGAAGGCTTCTATTGTTTTCGGACGCGGCCTTATAGGGCAGGAGTGTGAAGGACTGTATGACAAACAGAATCATGCAAGAAAGTCCCAACAACTATGACCTCGTCATAGCTTTGGCTCATTTCAGTCCTCTGAATTGTAGATACACAATACCGACACTGCGAAACATCGTCAAAAGCCTAAAAAATTTTCTTGACCACTTTAGGTAGGTTTCCTCTGTGTTGTGCTCTTTGTTCTTCCACTTAGTTTGTTCTCTCAAAAAGGATGGCTTTGTAATGGCAAACCACCGACAATGAGTGATTGGCGTCCACAATTCCGTAGAAGCAACGGAAAGTACATTAGCCTGGTTTATTTCCTACTTAACCTCCTCGGAAAAGCTTGCTTGTTGTTTCACCCAGAAAAGAAGAAATCGAGAGAGCGAGAGAGGGGAAGTAAACGCGGCTCATTTGCCGAGACCATCAAATTTGGCTGTGCGATGGCAACAACGCGTCGGAGGCGATGGGTGACGGAAACCCTCATAGAATGAGACCGCATTGCATGCGCACTTAGGGGAGGCAAAGGCGACAATCACAGGACTCCCTGTTGTATGCCGCCCGGTTATTTTGCATGACGCCTTGTGCAGCATGCAGGTGGATGGGTATAGGATCAACAAGGCTATTCTATAACTGCCTCATTTTCGCCTGTCGTTTTCAGCATTGACCACGTGGTGCTGTTTGGCGAGGGTGTAGGAGCAAACGCCTTGGCCCAGTTGGGGGTGAGGTACAATGCTTTCCCAATTTCCTATACCAAGTGTGTATATACATTCCACGAAGTGGGACGAAACAGCTTCTAATGGGTTTAGGTCAGGTGTGCAACTTGTTTCGTGGGAAAAGAAATTTTACTGGAAGACGCCGATGTAGGACATTAGAAACTCATTGCTACATCCCGTAATCTTGGTTGGTGGAATTGTGAAATTGCATATTCAAAAGCCTCTGAGGGAAAAGGAAATTTGCGATTTCGAAGCCGTTTTCATCTGCATCCTATGAACTTACTGGAGAGGCAAAATCAGAGCAGTAGTCACGAACCGAAGCTAGCGATGTGTCCAGTGTTTCAGAAGAAAGAAAATCAACTTTAAATGATTACTCTTCCATACCAAACAGCCGAACCAAGAGATGGTGTTAATGGAGCAGGAAGGCGTGATTCGAGGCCTTCTGTCGTGATTCCATTGCACTTTGGCTTTTATCCCGTCAAGTATACTTCCTGCCACCATGTGGGATTCACATTACCCTACTTGTAGCAGTAGTGAGCAAATGACTTCACTATTTTGCTTTAAGCTGTTAAATTCAACTTGCATATTGCACTGGGGTAAAGAGTTGGTGAATATTAGCCCCCGAAGTGATGGTACACATCATGAGCATCCGTGCCTATGAAGAAGTATGCCACTTATGCATTGAGATGGAGGTGTTACTTGCCTGTTGCACTTTGCCATTTCATGCCATTCGACCCAGTAGTTGGCATTTGTTGCTTACCTCCCCATCCAATGTGCATTGTTGCCAGTGCACCAAAGAGATGATTGGAATGGAGCACAGGTAAAAGCATGCGATGCATGTCAATACTGGAGCCAGCACCAGTACATATGCCAATCAAATTGAAAACTGCTTATTGTTTGTAGTGATATGTTGCCACTACACGTGATTCGTGCCACACGTCGGTCATTTTGTGGCACGTACAACTATTAACTAGTGTGGATGCATGAAACTCCAGCTAAAGCACCCTTTTGCTTTACATAGCAATTTACTCAGATTCATTGGGAAAAGTAAGGGATGACAGTTAATACTGGAGGAAAGAGCAATGGGAATGCTTGCGCGGAAATGAATGAAGGAATGAGATGGCTGCCATTGCCTGCCACCATGCTACAATCTGGCTGCATGGGTGTAAAGCGAAGAAGGCACATCTATTATAAGGGTAAGGGCCAAACTAACTTACGTACTGCCAAAGTAAAGGAAGGACCATCGACAGCTGCCCCACATTTACAACCGCCTTCCTACCTTCATTTACGTGTATCCTATCACCATCCTGACCCTGCCACTTTCACCAACATCTTTACAACCTCTTCCACACCCTCTATTAAAGACCCTCTCAACAGACGTTGGGTGAAACAATTTAAAGTGCATGAAACACTGCTTCAACTGCACTATGACTTTTTCATCAGGAAATAACGTGCTTGATTTTCATGTCTAGGCGAGAAGTGTCATAGGAGTGTGGGAGGAAAAGGTGATAGAATATATACGAAGGGTATTGAAGCAATCATCTCCACGAAAACGTAGCAAGTAAACAGGAAATTCACGGCTTAGATAGCAAGGGGATGAAAGTCATCACGGAAGGAGAACTTCACGCAGAAGTAGTCAGAGGAGAAGAAATAACAAATGCAAATTTATACACAAAATGAGAAAAGTGGATAAGACGTAGTCAATAAGAAACACATTCAAACAACACAGAGCAGACAGAGAACACCACATCACTAAAACGATAAAGAGAATTACACCCTCAAGTTCAGAGGGAGTAGAGAAGACCAGTAGTAAAAATATATTTGAGAGATATAAATAGTGCAGAGATAAAGAGACCAAAATTATGTTAACTTAAATTAACTTAGGCCGAGTAGAAGAGGTTACCAAAAAGTACATCCGCCCATTTTAACAAAGGTCCACTGGTACATATCTACGATGTGATGTGTGTTCATGTATTCTAACGCAAGCAGTGCAGAGGAGGTCACAAATACAAAGTACTTTTATGCTTCACAACGCAGGCGTAGTAGAGTAGGTCACTAATTCCAAGCACATTCACACATACTAACGGAGGCACAGTCGAAAAAATCACAATGACTCCGTACACTCATGTAATCCAACGCAGGCAGCGTTGGAGTGGTCACATCTGCAATATACAATCGTCTATTTTAGTACAAGCAAATTTTTGTGAAGCACTTATACCATCTACCTTCAATCACTTCAACCCATGCATTTTTACCCTTCTCTCATTTCTATTTGCATTGTTCTGCCTCCGAATGCAGCGAATCACCTGGCACTCCTTTCTAGGTGGCATACATGCTCACGATTGTATATGTTAATAGATATTTTTTACTTTGGCATGACTTGCGCTTCCCTTAATGCTAGCATAGGAATTGTGTTGGGTAAGTTACTATCCCTTAATGCAGTGATGCAATTTAGACTTTTGATAGAACTTTTTACTGAAGAAATAACAGGAGACGTCATGCAACACGGATCGCACACTGCGTTTGATTTGGAAGTGAGGTCATTGGGAGGATGTGTCCTCCGGCTCTCTGGCCAACAAAACGCAGATGAGCAATTTTTGTATTTTTGGCTATATACCTTGAGCAATGCAGGCACCTAATTGCAGTTGACCGTATTTCACTTGCCCTTGCCTTGTGCCTTCCAAATGCTTAGCTGCTTTCTGCATTTCCCTCCCTTCACTTTGTCACAAAATCTTGCGTCAATGCGGACTGTTTAATGTGCTTGGTATTAGGGAAGACATTCACGTTATTGTCAGTAGGGAGATGCTCAGTGCTGTGCGGAGTAATGGGTCGTTTTTTTCATGTCACTCAGAATTGCGTTTGTGTGTAGATGAGTGTGCAGTAAACCGATTACCCTGCACTCGTAACTTTTGCTGGACAATGCATTGTGGAGAATGAACACAAGATGTCAACCCCCTACTACCCATTCGTGATGCCAGTTGGACAAGTATGCTCTCATGTTCTGGTGATGAACCCACCGAATTTTGGTAAAAATTGGTCTTCTGGATGCCCACATTACGAGTTACTTAAATGGGCGATATTGCTATTTTTGTTCAAAGTCCAAAATGTGTTGCCTGAATTTAAATGCTGAGATATTTGCATCAGTGGTCAGAGTCGGGAAAGTAAAGC